TCGACATGCCAACTAATTCTCATTAGATTATAAGTAGACTGTTAGGTTGGGGTTAGGGTTAGTGAAAGTTGACATGTACTTGCAAAGTTTCTTATAGTCAGTTAAATGTCTGTTGAAGGAGCAGTATCAACAGATATCAAGCAGAAAGTCTACTAATACTCAAATGGACCATCAAAATAAAGTGTTACCTTAATTTGTGTTCCAAACATAAACAAAGTCCTCAGAGGATTGGACCAACATGAGAGTGAGCAATTAATAACACAATTAAAATTCTTCTGTGAACTAACCCTTTAAATCAACTATAAGCTTCGACTCTCACCAACACAGTGATCCAGGCTGTAACCAAAAACAGAAAGAGGGGGTAGAGCTGATTGCTCAGGGTGGTCCCTTCAGACTAGGCCTAGACTCTCCGCTGACCCACTTCCATCTAAAGAAAAGAAGCGCAGTCGTGCTCCATAGCCAACACGACTACAAGCACATTAACCGAACGCACAGGTGATAAAGATTCGGTCATGCTATATGCAAAACCTTCCATGTTAGTAACCCCCACGCCTGGAGCAAAATGGAGACCAAATGGAGACATAAAGGTCAAGTATCGCTAAATAGGTCAGACTATAAAGGAACGCTACTTTAAATAGGGGGCAGTGCAGAATCTTCACTTTGTGCAGTATGGTAGCTTGCAGTCCTATTTCGGTGGCCTGATCGTCGTTCGCCATCCCTCCCTCCCTCGTGCTCTCATTCTCTTCTCAATCATCCCATGCAAATCCTGCATGCAGTCCCACTAGTGATGTCAGCATCTGGGATGTCCAGAACTGGGGTGGATATTTTTAGCCTGGTGCAACGAGTGATAGTATGAGTAGAAAAGAGAGAGAGAGAAAGAGAGAGAGAGAATCTGCATAGTGAATACATAATGAGATGATCTATATAAAACGGATGTATGTGTTTGTGTCAAAAAAGGGAAATGAACTGATCGAGGGTTAATGCACGCATACGCATTTGCAAAAAATAAATTCCCAAAGGCTTCAGCGAGTTCCTCATAGTGGCTGGATGATTTCTACAAACGTGTCAGCTGACTGGAGGCGGAGACTAACGATTTATTCAGGCACAGCCTCTTCTATCTCTCTCTTTCTCCTCTACGCGCATTACTACAGAGGCCAGGCTATTACTGCACCAGCATGGCCTCGTTTCTCTCCCACGCCTAAATCAGGGACTCTGTCACAGCTGGGCCGGTGTGTGTGTGTTTGTGTGTGTGTGTGTGTGTGCATGTGTGTGTGTGTGCATGTGTACGTGCAGGCATGTATATATACTTTGTGCCACTAAAATCAAATCAATAGCTGTTTAGTGTGAAACAAAGATGTAAGATTTAGACAAGTTTACATTAAATAACCGTGCCTCACTTTTTTGATGCATATTGCAGGTATTAGCTATTTGTGCAAGCTATGTGAATTAACAACTCTGATTGGCTGTCTTTTTTATGTGTCAAGGTGCAGTCACTAAAATGACTTAAACAGGTATTACTCAGATATTCTTTTTTTTTAGCTGAAAACACTTCAACAGTATGTGTTTATTTTATAGACCATTTCAATGTGGTCATGTCATCGGCCCATGAACATTTCCTGCTTGTTATCAAACTATTTCATAACTGAAACAAGAGGCAATTCAATCATTACTTAATGATAAAATAGCTGTCGTAACATTATGTATGTGGCTCTTTTTGGATTCTTGGAAGCTTTAGAAATTAAAAATGTAAAACAGAAAAAAATATGCTGGGACCATCATTTTTGTTTACATCCCTCAAAATGTCTGTAGTTAAACTTGAATTATCAGAGTGGTGCATTTTAAATTTCATATTTGTATAATTATATATTTACAATCTTTGTTATCTATATTGTATTATCCGGCCATTGGTGACTTAACAATATATTCTGCAATGTTTATATGGCACATGGAGAGTGTTAATTTTAGGCCTTAAACAAAATAATATAATATAATATAATTTAGAACAGTAATCACAATACCGTCAAATCGTGAAATTGTTATCTGAGGTTATCTTACTGTCAGGAACATATTCTGGCCCATACCTAGTCAAGGATAGGTCAGTATTGCACAATTAGTCTGTGTGGACAAGTAAAAGTAACAGAATCTAAAGGACAATCTTGACACCTAAAACTACACAGTAAAACTGTTGAGTAAAATGACGCCCTCCTGAAATGAAAACAAGGCAGCGAAAGAGTTTTTGCTACGCTGATCCATTTAGGGTGCAGTAATGTATGTTTTCTCTATAATATATACAGTGCTTAGCATATATGAGTACACCCCTCACAAATCTCTCTTTTAAATTTATATTATTAATAGGAAGCTTTCAGTTCTATATTTGTGCTTATACATAAGATTAGTCAGTACTGAAGCCAAATCTGGACCTTGTACAAAATCTAACAAAATAACTTCTTATAACGGTCCAAAAACTAGTACACCCAAATTTATTTGTTACAGAAAAATAAATACAAACTTTATTAAGGGGAAAAATCACGAGAAGCAAAAAAGGGGTTTTGTAGGTTGTCATTTTTTTTCAATATTTTGCTTGAATTAAATTGTATTATCTTTTTAATTTCTAAATATGTTTGTTGACTAAAAAATTATTTTAAATATTTATATATTTTACATATGTTATATATCTTTCATAAAATAAATATATTTTTTAATAAAAAAATTTAAATGCACCAATGCACTGAGAAATGGATATATATATACATATATATATATATATATATATATATATATATATATATATATATATATATATATATATATATATATATATATATATATATATATATATATATATATATATATATATATATAGTTGAAGTCAGAATTATTAGCCCCCTTTTGATTTTATTTTTTAAAATCTTTTCCAAATTATTTTTAACAGAGCAAGGATATTTTCACAGTATGTCTGATAATATTTGCTCTTCTGGAGAAAGTCTTATTTGTTTTATTTTGGCTAGAATAAAAGCAGTTATAAATTTTTTAATAACCATTTTTGGGACAAAATTATTAGCTTCTTTATGCTAATTTTTTACATTTACATTTACATTACATTTAGTCATTTAGCAGACGCTTTTATCCAAAGCGACTTACAAATGAGGACAAGGAAGCAATTAACACAACTATAAGAGCAACAATGAATAAGTGCTATAGGCAAGTTTCAGGTCTGTAAAGTCTAAGAAGGAAAGCATTAGTAATTTTTTTTTTTCCGATAGTCTACAGAACAAACCATCGTTATACAATAACTTGCCTTATTACCCTTACCTGCATAGTTCACCTTATTAACCTAGTTAAGCCTTTAAATGTCACTTTATGCTGTATAGAATTGTCTTGAAAAATATTAAGTAAAATATTATTTACTGTCATCCTGTTAAAGATAAAATAAATCCGTTATTAGAAATAAGTTTTTAAAACTAATATGCTTAGAAATGTGCTGAAACAATCTTCCCTCCATTAAACAGAAATTGGTGGAAAAAAAATAGGGGCGCTAATAATTCAGGGGGGCTAATAATGACTTCAACTATATATATATATATATAGTTGAAGTCATATTATATATATATATATATATATATATATATATATATATATATATATATATATATATATATATATATATATATATATATACATACATGGATGTAACTACTTTTGTAATTATTTCTGTAATTACAGAAATAATTCTATTGCTGGCCATCCCTTACACCTTAACCCATCCTTAAACCTACCCATACCACCAAACCTGTCTCTAACCCGACCTGTATCCCATTTTAAGAAGACCACAAGTGTTCTGCAATACATTATAAACACAGCAAGTACGTTGCATTTATATTTTGATGCAAGAACACAGCAGTTAAGATCACTTGGGACCTAAATTGTGAGTAAGAGTGCATATTTCATTCATTAAATGGCTTAACTGGTTAATCTTAAAACCAATTTAAGATTAAAAATCTATTAGTTTGGTTGTCACAATTGTAACAGGGATGAATGCTTCATGCCATGAAAAATTTACTTGTTTTCATGTCATGCAATAGAAAGTTGTAATTGCTTGTTTGTTTGTTTGTTTGTTTGTTTGTTTGTTTGTTTGTTTGTTTGTTTGTTGTTCAGCAGATTGTGTAAAATCACAACAGATTTTTATAAATGACAACATGATTTCAATTGTTTGATGCAGTCAAGTAGATTATCAGCTTTGTATTGGGACAAAGTTGGTTAATTTAACAGATTCCATGTTATTTTATCAAAGATATCCAACAAAACATCACATTTGTGCATTAAATGCTTTACAATAATGTAACAATCCTAATGATGAGTGCTGTGTGAAAGAAAAGAAAGTCCTCAAACTCCACACACCTCATGAACACTCACACACATGAGCATAAGCACAAGTACTGGTTTTGAGATAACTGCATCAGCACAAAATGAACTGGTAACTTTATCGCTAACACAAATCAAAAAACAATTCGTCCTTGTGGTGTGTGTCACCTTGCCATTTCACTACCGAACCCCTCTACAGGTCTGACAATAACAGAAGACTCACAACCAAATGGAGAAAAGCAGCCATGAATTCTGGGGCCATCTCACAATCTCTCTCATTATGCTCGTACAACAGGGAAACCAGCTGCCAGATTTGTGATTCATAATGCTATAAACTTAATGCAATAAAACCATTACTGGACCAAAATGGTGGATGCATTCAACACTATGTCAATCAGCACATCAAAAACAGAAACCTCACATAGCCACCGATGGTGGAGAATGATGGGTTAGTAATGCGCCATATTGACAAACATTTGCAATCGAGTTCCTTAAACCAACTCAAATCCAGACACCTGAGCCAGGTGTTGAATCTAAATTACAGGTCAGATTCAAGCCAAACTCAACAGAACCACATTTGAGGAACCCTGATTTACAGCCTCTGGTCCAAGGTGAATCAGAGGTCCTGGGGGACCCACCTGGTGTCATGTAGCCCCGTGGAGAAGGGGAGATGTGGGACGGAGGAGGGGGCGGTGGAAAGTGCTTATGGTGGTGGTAGTCCTTCTCACTGCGAGAGCGGATGCGCTCCAAGGCCCGCTCCGATAGATCCGAGCTGGGCCAGGCCCGCCTGAGGTTGGTGCTGCGGGTCTTCTTCATGTTGGCAGGTTACCCCGTGGATGGGGGGAAGAGGGGAAAGAGGGAAGGGGGTAAGGGGAGGGAGGGGGTGGGGAGTAACCTGAGGTTCAGTCCCTCCCCCACATTGGCAGGGGACACCCCAGTCCAGGTATCAGGCCAGAGTCATGGTAAGGGCGCTCTCGCACACACACACGTGTGTACGCATATACACACATACGCGCACGTACGCACGCTAACCAGGGGTGACACGTGGCGGCGCAGGCAAGCGTGCTCAGTGGTTGGAGGTGGGCGTGGGAGCGCTGGGCTGGGCTGTCCTCTGAGGCATCACCCTTGGCTGGAACAAATCCCACCGACCCCCTGCCAAACATCCGGATTCATGTGCCACGAAGGGCACATTACGTCGCCAGGCACTGCGGGGATGGGAGAACAGGGGGGGCGAGAATGGAGGACAAGATGCAACGCAAAGATGATTCCGGACAGTACGTGCGCACCGACAAACACACATATGAGTTTAAGCAAGGTGCATGGGGATGAAAGGATGGAGCAGTGGAAGATGAGAGAGGAGGGAGGGAGGGAGGATAAGGTATTGTGGAGGGAGAGAGAGAGAGAGAGGCCTGCCTGTCCAACAATAGCCCAATTCAGCACGGCGACGGCAGCCCCTCAGACAAGTCCGCTGAAAAACAAAAGGCCTGCCTGGGAAAGAGAAAACGCAAAGGGGGAGGAAAAAAAGAAGAAAGGAGAGAACGGCCTCTGAGGTGACCTCGATGCTTTGGAGATCTCAGTCCGCAGACAAGCCCGTGTCAGCCTCCCTCCTCTCCAGCTCTGCCACTAGCCTCCGTCGAAAACGACGCCACGCGCAAGGGGAGGGCAGAAAAACCGCGACAAGAGGGAAGGTGGAAAAATGGAAACCGCAGATGCGGAAGAAAGGTCCTCCTCTTTTGTTCCGTAATTCCACAGTGAAGGAGGACGGCGGCTGCGAGGATACACGCACATTCACGCGACTACATCTTGTCTCGGAGGCTCCCTCCTCTTCCAATGCTGCTGCTGCTGCTGCTAACACTGCTGCTGCCAGCACCTTATGAAAGGGGTGTGTGTGAGAGAGAGTGTGTGTGTGTGTGTGAGTGAGTGAGGGGGGAGGCAGGAGAGCAGCAGAGCAAGCGATGGAGTGTGTGAGCGCGCGGATGAGGCTGTACGTGAGCGTGCCTGTTTCACAGTGGAATTGAGAGCGAGTTAGCGTGGATGGAAAAGAAAGATGGGGGAAAGGAAATAACAGCCAGGTTTATAAAGAGGAAAACACACATGACCACAGCAGGGGCCCATAGAATAACACAGTGTAAAAACTGATACTAAAAACACAAATGTTTCTTTTAAGCATGACCTGATTTAGTGCTATACTAATTGTACAAGACTATTTGTCCTGTTCAACACACCGTTAATCTTTTAGCATGCGCAAGTCAATTCAGGGCAAAGGTATATTAAAAGGATAGGTCCCCACACTGACACCATGAAGTCACTCTCGAGTATTTTTTCTGTTAAACACAAAAGAAGATATTTTAATAAAAAGTTGGGAAACGGTAGCTAAAACAACACTATGGAAGTCAATGGCTACTGTTTTCAACATTCTTCAAATGGTAAACAACAAAACTGCGATTTTTGTGCAAACTTTACAGAAATCAGATTTGTATTTGTCTTTAGTTCATCAAAATAATTGCACTAACAGCATGACACCATTTTATTAATGCAGATATTGTAATGGCAAACAATAAATGTAAATTATAATGCATCATATTTAAAATAAGTCATGAAGACTGTCATGAATACTAATTCACATTCACATAAGTAGTCTAATAAAAAGGTAACATTTTAATATGCATCTATATAAATATTAAATGATATATACAGTTATACGATAACATGTATTTACTGTACCCAGCAAGCATTTTTTGTTTTTAAAAGATGTCTTATAGATGTCTAATAGACGTCTAAACATAGTCGTCTTGTTAAAACAAGGCAAAATTTGGGTTATCAGTGAAAATCTAATAGACGTCTAGGAATAGGCCAAAACTAGACTAGTCGTCAAATAAACAGAAATGAAAGACTACACATAAAGTCTGTCTTTATAACGACTAGTCTAGTTTTAACCTATTCTTAGAAGTCTATTAAATTTCCCCGGACAGCCCAAGTTTAGCCTTGTTTTAGCCAAGCTGTCTATGTTTAGATGTCTTTTAGACGTTCATCACACACAAAATTGTTTGCTGGGTAATGTTAACAGTAAATTATACATGATTACAAGCAAATAATCCTCAACCAAAAATTTACCACATCATTATTTCGAGTACTTTGATTTCAAACCAAAAATATATGTTTTTTTTTAAAGATTGCCTTGGCAACTAGTGATTGCATTTTGCTATAGGTGTATTTAATGTGGACTTACAGATGCAGAATACTAGTTCTGGTTTATATAAGGTAACTAGACATGGGATCAGGTGTAGCTTTAAGGATTGACCTGGTTACTACACAGTTAAGGACTATAAAAAATACACAGTATGTACAGTTCAAGTAAGAATTATTAAACTCCCTGAAATATTCACCCCCCTGTTTACTTTTTCCTCAATTTCTGTTTAGCGGAGAGCAGATTTTTTCAACACATTTCTAAACATAATACTCATTTCTAATAGCTGATTTATTTGATTTTGGCCATGATGACAGTAAATAATATTTTATTTGACTAGATATTTTTCAAGACACTTCTATACAGCTTAAGGCACAATTCAGAAACCTCAGAAATATTTTCGTCAATGTATCAGAATATACGTAGCAGCAGTTATAGGATATTTTATGGTGACACATTAGGGACACATTGCTTTTGCAGTGTTTTTCTATATCTTGGGCTTTTACATTTTATGCACAGGTTCTGCATTTTATATTGTTGTTACTGTTGTTGTTGGAGTCATGATCTTGGGAAGTAGAACTAAATGGCTAGAACTAAGCCATGTACTAATTTAATAGTTCTGATGCTAAAACGGTCTGTGCCATCTGAAATTTCTATTGAAAACATTTATTTTTTTTTTTTTGAGATTTCCCTTTAACACCAGGAAAAAGACTTATTTTTTTGCTATAAAAGTGATATGACTGCATATACACACAGGAGCCTGATAAAAAGGCTCATTTTAGTGGAAAATTTCTGATGGCATTTAAAGTTTTTTGCATCTAAACTCTTCAATTGCATCTGTACACTTAAAAATATGTCTAATAAATTACAGTTGATCATAGTTCATGATTTGTAGGTATTTTCTGTTTATTTATGATTTTGAATTGCATTATGGGACCTTAATCTCTGCTCTGGAAACTTTTTGTTTTCTCTGGAGTTTAACAGAATGACTCTTGTTAGCATTGTTATTAGTTTAAAACAATATATTGTGTCTATCTGAAGAATATATGTGCTTTACAAGACTTTATTGTTTCAACATACTGTAGCTTCTTATACTTTTAAACATCACAATTTGTGGGAGGCAACACAGTGGCTCAGGTATGCTGTCGCCTCACAGCAAGAAGGTCGTTGGTTCGAGCCTCGGCTGGGTCGGTTGGCATTTCTGTGTGGAGTTTCCATGTTCTCCCTGTGTTCAATAGGGTTTCCCTCGAGTGCTCCGGTTTCCCCCACAGTCCAAAGACATGCGGTACAGATGAATTTGGTAGACTAAATTGTCTGAAGTGTATGAGTCTATGGATGTTTCCTAGAGATGGGTTGCGGCTGGAAAGGCATCCGCTGCATAAAACATGTGCTGGATAAGTTGGTGGTTCATTCCGCTGTGGCGACCCCGGATTAATAAAGGGACTAAGCCGAAAAGAAAATGAATGAGTGAATGAAATTTAGTGGGAGTAGAGATTAAGGTTTATAATTCAATCTGCAATGTAAAACACCCATAAATCGCAAACTACAGCCAACTTTTAATGAACAGATATTTGTTTACAGTATATTAATGTATAGGATCTATATCTGTAGAGTCTGGGATCCACTGTATAATCATCACAAAAAGACTCTAAGGATTCTATCTGAAAGGGATAGTTCACCCAAAAATGAAAATGTTCTCAATATTTACTCATCATCAAGTGAGTCCAAACCTTTATTTAAGATTCTTTTATTCTGTTGAACACAAAATAAGATATTTTGAAGATTTTGAAACCTGTAACCAGTGACATTAATAGTTGAAAAAACATACTATGGTCAACGGTTACAGGCTTTCAGGATTTTTCAAAATATCTTCTGTTCTGTTTAACAGAATAAGGAAACTCATTTAGGATTAAAACAAATGAAGGGTGAGTAAATGATGACAAAACTAAAATGTCTGGTTATACTATCCATTTAAGAACTAGTCTGACCAAATGGTAGCTACTGAGTATCAAAGAAGTATTGTTCGGATTGAAATTAGAGTGATCAATCTTTTTATAAACAAATTTAAAAATTTATGTACATTCTTGTAGAAAGAACAAATGATGTCTCACATTTATCGAAAAGCTTTTAAAGCCAGCCCCCGATAATGCATTTTTCAAAACAAATACTGCTAATGTTTTATTAACTCAAAAGCCACCATTTCAAAATTCCTATTACATAAAAAAATCCTTTATTTTCTTCTGTTCAAATTTGGAGAAAGCCGAAACGCTCCAACTTTTAATGCTGACTCACAGAGGTCATGTTCACAGCATGATGTGTCACACCCCCCATGCTTATTGTTAGCCTTTAGCCTCCGTAAACGCCTTCTTGCAGGGAGTTTGTGCTGTGCTCACGTTCTCCATTATTTTAATAGCAGAGGGGGTGTGAGCAGCTCGAAGGGAACAACGCATTGGAGTTTTGTCATGCTTAGTCGGCCTCTGACCTCCTCCTCCTCTTCATTTAAATCCACACAAAACAATATCTCCCATACATGGCCCTTGCTGCTATCAAGAGTCCCTTGTGTTCAAGTTCAATTCGATTAGGGCTGGGCGATTTGGCCTAAAATTAAAATCTCAATTAATTTAACATTTTAACTCGATTACGATTAGTACGATTATTTCATTTATTTATTCATTATTTATTTCATTTATTTATTTATTTTATTTATTCATTTTATTATTTATTTATTTATCCTCACAGTTTACTGACAAGTTTTGTACAGTAAATATGCTCACATATTACAAGTGAGAGATGTTTAAATGAAGGGTGAATTTGTTGAGTTAAAAGTTTTAAGTTAAAAGTTAAAACACACATTGCCTAAAACCAACAGCCACTTTTATTCTTATTAAGCAGCATCTCCTCTAACTAAAATAACAAATATTCATTCATTTATTTTCTTGTCGGCTTAGTCCTTTTATTAATCTGGGGTTGCCACAGCGGAATGAACTTATCCAGCACATTTTCCCTTCCAGCCGCAATCCATTTCTGGGAAAATAACAAATATTTGAATGTAAGTAATATTTTTATTGTAATAGAAAATATGCCATCAACACTCTAAAAAATGGCCGATAGTTTTCACGGTAAAAGAATGTAAAAGCGCGAATGTAAAAAACTGTAAATTATAATGACATGATAATAATAACATGAAATTTCTCTTAAATTTAACAGTTAAATACCGTTAATGTAAATACAGAAAAACTTGGTACTTTTTACATTATTATACCTTGTCTTTTAAAGTTATTTTACGTATACTGTAAACTGAAGACCATACTGTATTTTAACGGTAGATTTCTGTCAACCACAGCTGCCGGTTTTTTCCCCATGAATTTTATGGTTATTGCTACTATAACCTGAAAAACATTCTACTGTATTTTTACAGTAAGTTTCTGGCAATCACAGCTGCTAGTTTTTTTACAGTAAATTTTACAAGATTTTTTTTTTCAGTATTTCTGGCGCAGATTACGATCATCATTAATGTAATGCAAACATGCGACGTGTGGTCAGGGATGTGCAGTATTTATGATACATGCATTTCAAATACATATTTTGAATACAAAACAGTATTTTTGTAAATTGTATTTGAAAGGGTTTATGAAAACGGTTTAATATATTGTATCAAAATACTTTGGTTTCTTGTATTTTTAAAATACTGTAAAATTCTTACAATATAAAAAAGCACTACAGTGGCGATACCTACAATATTGGTTTTAAATGCCAGTAGCTGATCTGGAGGTGCTTTTTATGGTTAATTACATCCTTTGACATAGTTAATCTGAATGAGACAAAAATATTTAATATTACTGCAATCTACAGACTGGTCAAAAACTCTTAACTCAAGTTTTATGGCTACAAAAACAAAAAAATTTTT